TTGGGGGCCTAATCCGAAGTCTGAACGCATGGCCATGGTGCCTAGATTCTAGATTCGTTTTGAACTCAATTGTTGGATCCAAATCAACCAGTCGTAAGGGCTACAGGCTCCAACGAACACATCATATCGAACTGGAACTGGATTGCCCAGTCAAAAAAGGATCTTCCTCTACAGCTAAGAGGCTTCCATTCCTTCTACCCTGGAAGTTCCCGTTCGACCATTGCTTGGATCTGGTGTTTGTGTAAAATCCGTATTATAAAATCATTTGATCTGGTTGATCGTCATTGCTGTCGCTCTGAAATCGGGCCACGACTGTCGCTCCGCTTTCCCTCGAGTCGGACGTCAACCGTCGGACGTGGCTCAGATGCCATCGGATGTGCTGGGAACAGAGGTGCCCGGTTTTCGGAGCGAGCTCAGGTGATGGGTTCGTGGATGGTTTGAATGCTTGCTTGCTTGCTTGGTTGCTTGCTTGCTTGCTTGGTTCGTTGGTTGGTTGGTTGCTTGGTTGGTTGGTTGGTTGCTTGCTTGGTTCGTTGGTTGGTTGGTTGGTTGCTTGCTTGGTTGCTTGGTTGGTTGGTTGGTTGCTTGCTTGCTTGCTTGGTTCGTTGGTTGGTTGGTTGGTTGCTTGGTTGGTTGGTTGGTTCGTTGGTTCGTTGGTTGGTTGGTTGGTTGGTTGGTTACTGGTTGGTTACTGGTTGGTTACTGGTTGGTTATTGGTTGGTTGGTTGGTTGGTTGATTGAATTGGGTTTGAAGGTTACATTTGCCATATCCATCTATCTATACCTTCTGTCCACACCGATTTGAGGGAGGCTGGGTCATAGGGAATCGTAGAGTCATTTTGATAGATGGACTGCGTTGAAGGTGGTTACCTGTGGCTGATCTGCCACAGTTCTCCCTGGTGCAGATTCCTTCAACAGTAGCATTGGCATTGGCAGGGGAATCAGGATTGAAATAGGTGGGACCTACTGATGAGAATCTGGGCCGTCCTACACAGACTGTCATGATGGGAAGATTATATCCGATCTATTTGTGTTTTTAAAACAAACTTGCCAACGATCTTGGGATTTCAATGGATTTTCTTCCACCACGCGGTGACACCGCCTGCCAGGCGGCGAAGCGGAAGAGTGACCCACGGATATCCCACTGGGCAACACTGGGGGGTTCGGAATACGATGCTGGCACCCCATGCCTTCAGCTAAGCACAGACTTGTTTTCTAATCCTTTCTGAAGAAAGACATCTTTTCTTCTACTGAAGAGTGACATCGGATTCCCAGTTGAGAGCAACACACGCACACAACTACCTACCTTTTAATCTCGTTCTAACCGGGCTGTTGGTTAGGGAGCTTCAACTTCGTTTCACGTCAACACCGCGGAATGGATCAACGACACGAACTGTTTGATGAGTCGACGAGTGAAGTTCAATTCTGAAGAATCATCTCAAGCAGACTTGCAAAAAAGAGCAGTTTCGAAGCACAGAAACCATTTTGACTGACTAAATTGTACTCTTACTTTGAAACATGATTAGCTAAACAAAGAAAAAACAGAGACAATCAAAGAACAACAAAGAACAAAAAGCAGGCCGAGTACCTTTTGGACCAAGAACCTCTTTTCGCTGTCGCGATCGCCGTCTTTAAGCTCGCTCGCTGAGTGCGGCGGTCACGCCTCCGAAGGCTCTCCGAATCCGCAGTCTTCACCGATGGATTCGGGTCACAGGTACCGGAGCTGGGTCTTTGTTGGTGCCGCTGAAAGGTCACGTAGGCGAATGCTTTCGCGGACAGCCACGGCTCGAAACCGAGCCTCGAGGAGTCAAGGAACCCAACATGTCGAAGCAGAAGCAGATCAGGTTCATGGTAAGTCTGAATGTGAACGGATCCAGTTTCGGCAGAACTCTTCCAGTGCCGGTCTCAACGAGAAGTCTTCCGACCAACCTTTCTCCGCTTTTCTCTGCACCTTTCTACACCTCGACAAACCCCACGAGCACCCGCTCCGGTCCACAGCCCGCACGAATGAACGCTCGCTCGGTGCGACCACACCTTCCCTCACCGACCGACCGGCGGGCGGTTCCGACGTCCTCCCGTGGCCAGACCTCACCTGTGGGCCCTTGAGCCCCACGCCGCGGCATGAACGTGGCCTGGAGATGTCCTCGCAGTCCTCGCTCCCAGGGAGCTTGGACGAGAGCCCCGCGCGCAGCCGGCAGCAGATCCAATCGGATCCACAGGCGACCCGTTGGGTCGATCTCCTTGGTTGGGGTGAGGATCTCAGACTTGACTGAAGTTGACAACATAATGAACATGAGATTTTTCGTAGGGAGCTGTGACTGGAGGGATGGAGGGATGGATGGAAGGTGGCGGGGGGGTGCACAGATGCACAGGCACAGTACTCCCAACCGTGCGCACCAATGCGCCGTGGAAAGGGATCATTCGGTGAAGGAAAGATTGGGCCTGATGCAACATGTTGCCCTGAACCGTGAAGTATTTCGCATTTGGCCAAGCTCCAACTAGTTAACTCATGTTAGCCAGATCGCGGAGACATCGGTAGACATCGGTCGGTCGTGAGGCCGATGCGGACATCGACGATGAAGTCACCATCTATCGCCAGGTGCTACACATGCACAAGGACCCCAAAACCGCTGTTTGCCGGGTGGAGCAAAGATCGCTGTTTGCGCGTGAAAGAAGAACGTCATTGGGTGACTCAGGGGTATGAACATCGGTTTTGCTTCACTCCGCACAGGGCCCACAAAGTCACAACCAAGCAACATCCTTCCGGGTGGATATTTTTCTCTTCAAGTCGCACCACTCTTCAGCGCGCCATGGGGTGCCTGAAAAAGCCTGGTGTGATTTTTCAGACTATTAGGCACCCTTGGTTCAACAAGCCTTTCAACAGCGCCCCTAGGCCCTAGAATAGGCCCCTAAACCAATCAATCTTCATGCAGATAGCGCTGGAATGCCGTGTGATCCAAGTGACTGGAATGGGATCCATCGGGGGCCCCCCATGTGCCACATATATTTATAATATATTAGTCCGTGTTCTGTGAACTTGATGTTTGTGTGGCCGCGAATTCGAA